TTATTATTATTATTATTATCATTATCATTATTATTATTGTTATTACTTTTATTATTATTTTTACCACTGGTTTTTTCGTTTGTCGCTGTGCTTTGTAGTACTGCTACCTTATTTTTTAAATGGGGTGTAAGCTGCTTTTACGTCTTCAGTGACTGCTTTTCTTATATTTTTCAGCTTTTAACTTCGTTGGCGACAGTTCGTTATTGTTAATACGGAAAATCTGATTGCTTTCCGTATTCTGTTGATGTGGAACTGTTTAAGGTTGACCAGTAGCTATTGTTTTTATCTCATAATGGGTAGTGCTGCTGGGATCGTGTCCGTACTTACCGATGCGCAGGCAGCAAATTAGCCTTCAGGGCTATGGGATTGTCGAATGAATAATTACTGCTAAATAAATTAAAATGGCACATATTATAAGCAGTGAACAGTTTTGGACAAAATGCTTTGAATCTCAAAATTCCGTGGTTTAAAGGGAGGTGGGTAAACTGAAGCGCGGTAAAATAGCAATTCAGTATAGAGGCGAAGATAAAGAGAGTTAAATTGATCGCTGGGGAAGTCAAGGGCGAGTCTTCGGTTATTAAGGAATTATCTTGCTTGGTAGTTGAGGCCCGTTGATCACTTACTAGGGTTTTTATTTTCCAGTTGTTACTCTAGCGTACTGCTGCATTGTTGTTTTCTGTATAGAATTTGAAGGCTGTAGGGTGTTATTTGCAAAACTATCCCAGAAAGAGAAATTTTAAGTGAATTATATAGTGCTAGATTAGTGCCATTTGGAAGTAGAGGAAGATTTGCTGATTCTATCCACAATCTCTTTTGTGTGTTACTGTTGGTTACGTAGCTATGAACTTTATTTTGCAGTACTGGGGATTTTTATATTGTTGTTGGTTTTGGCGGATTTCTTCCGTATTACATGTTTTTGTTATGTGTTTCTTCAAGTCGTGATGATTTCGCCCTTAAGTGTTGTTATCGCTTCTGCGGAATTGCGTAGTCGGATACTGGGATGTTTTAAAAACGTTTAGTCTCTGGGATTTATGTGGGCTTCGAGATCGTTGTGTTATCACTATATTTTGCGTATTTAGCACGTTTACAGCTTTTTCAAAATACCAGGACTTGTTTCTTTCAAGGGATTTGTTTAAGTGTTATATAGAGGTCGTTTATCTGTGTTAAGCGAAGGACGAAGTAACTCTTTGTTGTTCTTCTGTTCGGTCAAAAGTTAAGTGCTTGTGTTCTTGACTATCGAGGATTCGCCATGAATTTGAGGGGTTTTTTTCATATTTATGTTTTTAAGCTGTAGTAATCGCTTCCAATACGGAATGACAAATGTTCGGGGACCAAGTTCATCCGCGTCTCCTTCAACTACGACGTCTACTGGAGTTCTCATGGTCGGGCCAAATTTCAAGGTCAGCTGACTATTAGCCAATTTTTTTTCGTTTGTTTGTTTTCCTTTTTTAAATAGTTTCTATCTAAAGATTGTGTAAATTAAATTTGCAGGTTGGGAAGAAAATTGGTTGTGGTAATTTTGGTGAACTTCGCCTAGGAAAAAATTTGTATAATAATGAACATGTGGCAATTAAATTGGAGCCTATGAAGAGTAAAGCCCCTCAGTTACATCTTGAATATCGTTTTTATAAACTGCTCGGTCAAAGTGGTAATTTTTAGCTCAGTTGAATATAACTGTTGAATGTTTCTTGTAATAGAAAGTAACCTGATTTTTTATATAAGTATTTGTTATGATTTTAGAAGGCTTGCCGCAGGTTCATTATTTTGGGCCTTGCGGGAAATATAAAGCTCTAGTTATGGAACTGCTAGGACATTCATTAGAGGACCTTTTTGATCTCTGCGACCGGAAATTCTCACTAAAAACGGTTGCTATGATTGCCATACAACTGGTTAGCCTTTAAAGCTATTACAAGGTTTGATTGAAGTAGGTGGAATATCAATTCTATTTTATTTTGAGGGTTTATTCTCTTCAGCGTTCTATGCACTTGTTAAGCGTAGAACTGTTTCAACAACATTTTTCTGCTCGTATAAATAGAAATATACTTTTGCGTAGAAGTTATATAAAATGTTCTTCTTTGGTGCGTTTTTATTTGCAGTATGTAAGCATGCTTGACTGTTTGCCTTCTTGATATATTCTGTAAAGGTTTCAAATATTTAGCAGATGTTGTCTTGCAGGTCAAGAGAATTGAATATGTTCATTCTAAGCACTTAATATATCGAGATGTAAAACCAGAAAACTTCTTGATAGGCAGACATTCAACACGCAAGCAGCATATTCTACATATTATAGATTTTGGTCTTGCAAAGGAGTATATAGATTGTGATACAGGTAAGAATATATTACAGGACAACTACCTTTTTAATTAAGAGAAATACTGGTTTCTGTATTGTTTTCAAGTGACTGAGTAAGAACTGGAAAGTTAAGACTTATGAGATGACAAGTCTAATAGTTTGATGAGCACTCTTGAAAAAAGGTTTTGGCCGATAGACTTTTCTAGTAATTGATAATTTATTCTTCTTCAGAAGGTATGCCAGTTCTTTGGCTAAAGTTGTATTATGTACAGTAGGGTTTTTTCTACTCATGTCAGTGTTCACTTCAGGCAAACACATAGCATATCGAGAACATAAATCTTTAACGGGTACGGCAAGGTATATGTCTATTAACACGCATTTGGGGAAGGAACAAAGTCGAAGAGATGATTTAGAGGCTCTTGGTCATATGTTTATGTATTTTTTAAGAGGTTCTTTACCTTGGCAGGGACTCAAGGCTGACACTTTGAAGGAGCGGTACCAAAAAATTGGTGATACTAAAAGAGCAACTTCAATTGAAGCTCTTTGCGAAGGATTTCCAGGTTAGCGTTGCAATCATTTTAATCGGTCAGTTGCTTTTGAAATATTGTAGAATTTGTCTCTTAAGGTGTAATTGTGCTGTGGACTTTTGTCTTAGTGTTTATAATGTAGGACCTTTTATTGCTTTTTTTAAATCTTGATAAGTAGTGCGAGTATTCAATAATGGCAG